GACAGACAGACAGAGAGAGCTAACAGGGAATGGTGTGCATTCTTAAAAACCTCAAAGCTGGAACACAGTAGATTTCTCCTCCAACAAGGCCACACCTCCTAATCCTTCCCAAACAGTTCCCCCCAACTGGGGACCAAGTGTTCAAACATAGGAGCCTATGGGCACATCCTTAATCAAACCACCCCTTGCTCCCCAGTCTCCTAGAGAGCAAGCCTATCAACAGGCTCTACTGTCCTGCCCCCTTCCGCTGCTACACCCTGGGAGCAAGTTCCCTGAAGAGATTCATCTTTGTAGCTGTGGGGCCTGGCATCCTCTATCTGAAGCCCATGAATGTTTAAGGGCAGCCCATTTTTAGCTTCAAGGCATCTGTTCATTTAATCATACATTGCTTCGTTTGTTTACAGAAATAATACCATAAGCTTTTATTGCCCAGACTAGAAAGTAGACTGTATTATCTTTCTGTCTTTCCCATTCTGCTCTGGACTCTGATGTCTAACCATTTAAAGCAATCATTGGCTGGGCAGTGGTGGTGCATGCCTTTAATCCCAGCACTTAGGGGGCAGAGACAGGTAGATCTCTGAATTCAAAGTCTACAGTGTGAGTTTCAGGGCAGCCAAGGCTACACAGAGAAACCCTGTCACAGAAAACCAAAAATAAACAAACACTAGATAAAGCTGTTATTGTGCCAGACATGGCCTATACAACAATGCCCTCCCACTGCAGATGAGATCACATGACTGACTCCAACCAATGAAGCCACCTCCAGCTTTCTTGCTCTTTACAGATGAGGCAAAAGCAAGGACTCATAGTGTGAGGTGTCATCACTGTATGGTAGAGCAGAGGTCGGCCTGAAGCCCTGAGGAGACCACATGGAGCAGAGTGAAGAGTGTCCCATGACTTATTTGGGATACACAATTGAGAAGTGACCTGTGACAAGTTTTTTGTTTTGTTTTTTGTCAGCTTGACACAAACTGGAATCACCTGGGACAAAGAAGCCCCCACTGAGGAGGCCTAAAGAGCCTCAGTTGAGGAATGGCCTCCAAAGGTTGGCCTGAAGGCATGTCTGTGAGGCATTTTCTTGGTTAATGATTGATGTGGGAGGGCCCAGCTCACTATGGTGAGCCCACCCATGGGCAAATGATCCTGAGTTGTATAAAAAGGCAAACTGAGTGAGCGAGCCATGGAGAGCAAGCTGGTAATCAGTGTTCCTCCTCCAGGTTCCTGCCCTGGCTTCCCTCAGTGATGGCCTGTGACCTGGAAGTGTAAGATGAAACAAACCCTTTTCTTTCCAGGTTGCATTCAGTCAGTGTTTTCTCACAGCAACAGAAACCCTAAGACAGTAGTCACAGAACCATCGTGCTGGCTGACCTGCCTGCCACCTTGGTTCTTTTTGGTTTTTAAACACAAGGTTTCTCTGTAGTTTTAGGAGGCTGTCCTGGAACTCACTCAGTAGACCAGGCTGGCCTGGAACTCACAGAGATTTGCCTGCCTCTGCCTCCTGAGTGCTGGGATTAAAGACCTACATCACCACTGCCCGGTGCCACCTTGGTTTTTGTTTTTTGTTTTTTTTGACAATCTGATATGAGCCTGAAACTCATTGACCAGACTAGGCAGCTGGCCAGGGAGTCCCAGCAATCCTCCTGCCTCCAGCTCCTTGGCACTGGGGTTATAAGAGCCTGTGGCCAGGCCTGAACCTTGCCTGCGGGTGCAGGGGACTGAGTTCCGGTTCTGCACTTGCGAAGCCAGCAACTTGTACCTACCGGGCTCCAGTGGAATATATTTCCAATGATAGAACTCCAGTTGTGGGAGGCTGGCTGTGTTTCAGAAGCATCAGTCCTGCCTTGGATTTCTCAGGGATCTGATACAATCTGCTCCGACACTGGTGCTGAGGCTATTTTCTGTTCTTTGTTCTGGGGTCGTGCTTCTTGGGAGTCTGTGTGGAGGTGACTTCTTCTGAAATCTGACTGTCCCTGTTCGGGACTCTCCGGGCCTTTTCTGAGAAATGGAGATATGGTCCCCACACTTCCTCTCTCTTCCTGGCTAGCTCCAGCCACTAACGTGGAGCCTTCCTTACATTCTCCTTCAGCCCCAGTCCCACATCTCCTTTCTACCAGCCCCAGAGGGTCTTGCAAGGTTGTATTCCCAGCTGTCCTCTCTCTGAGACCAGCAACGGGATCGGAGCAGCAGCCTTGGTGGGTTGGGACTAGCTTTCTGGCCTTCAGGAACATGTCTCGGCATGCCCAGCTCTGGAACTGGAGAGGTGGGGCTGCTTCATGCAGGGACGTGGGGACATGATGGCTTACACTGCTTGCTGTGGGCTGAGAAGGGGTGTGAAAGGACACAGAGACCCCAGCCAGCCTAGGGATGCCCCACCCTGCAAGCCTGAGTTCCTGGCAGCAGACAAAGATGGCATGTATCTTGTGACTTGTATCTTGTGAAGAGTGTTTTAGTGCCTGTGTCTGTCTGTGCCTGGGGGTCAGGTACTGTGCATATGACTTTGTCCCTTTGTCCTTTTAGGGGCTGAAGGGGTCCTCTAACTGTGTGCCTGACTATACATTCAAGTGCAAGGCTAACTGTTTGTTAGAAAGCCTGAGCAGTCTTAGACTTAATAAATATTTGTTGAGTACTTCTGTGGTGCCCCAGGAAGCCAGAAGTTATTTTAAAAATCTCCCCAACGTCAACAGGACAAAGGCACAGGAGGTCACAGAGCTCAGCAATTCACTACAAGCCTTTATTAAAACTGTTTTCTCCCAAAGTAAACAGGCAGACAATGTCACATCTATCTGAAATGCCTAGAGGCCAAAGGGATTTGAGCAGTTGGACATCCTGTCCTGGCCCGTGACAGACCAGCCATGGACGACCTGGGTGCAGGGAGGAGATGGTTCAGGAGCTGGGGTGTTGTGGGAGTGGTCCCGAAAGGGTTGGAAGGGTGCCCCATGCCCTTCCCAGACTCCCATCCCCCTCCATAGACGAGGAGGTCTGTCCTCCTTAGGTCAGCTAAATCAGAAGAGGAAGACGGGCATGTCTGGGCAGCGATTTCTAGCATCCAAAAGCAGGAGATGTGAGCACTTATAACTACTCCAAAGCAGGATCCTAGTCTCTTAGCTGAGATTTCTCTTGAGATTAAGGCTCTATTCTCTGCATTCAAAAAAAAGTTTTTTTCTGTTTCTTTGTTTTGAAAAAGGGGTCTGTTTTTGTTTTTGAGGCAGGGGAAGCCTCAGACTTGCTGTGTTGCAGCTGGGGATGGCCCAGATGAATTACTGGTCCTTCTGCTACCCTGCCTCCTGAGGGCTGGGATTACAGACACATACCATCACATTCAGTTAATGCTGTAGTGGGAATTGAACTCAGGATTTAGTAACTGTTAGGCAAGCACTCTTCTGAGCTACATCCTCAGATCTGATTGGTTGTGAGGGGTTCTATGTATCACAGGCTGGCCTTGAGCCCCAAATCTCCCTGCCTCCCACGTGTTGGGATTACAGATATGTATCATGCCCAGTTGAGATGGGGGTCTTGCTAAGTAGCTGGTGTGACCTGGCTGGACCAGAGAAACCCTGTCTCTAAAAACAAACAAAACAAACAAACAAAAAAAGACTGTGGTTCAGACTCATAGGAAGGAGGTTAAGGTGGGAGAATTGCCTTGGATTTGAGGCCACCTTGGGTTACATAGCAAGACATAGTCTCACAAACCCCAAAGCAGAACAACAGGAAACTGACTACAAAGCAAAATAAAACAAGGAGGGAGGTGGGAATTGATGACACCTCAATGGTCTGTCAGGAACATCAGTAGATATTTCTAGATTGTCCTTTATTGATGTCACCTAATTTTGGCCCCAGAAATAGACACGGGTAAGCAGAGAGCTCCGGGCAGCACTCCAGAGACCAAGCAGGGGCCATATCTTGGCTGCATCATCAGAATCAGGGTCTTGGGCCATTCTGAGCCTTAGTTTCCCCATTGCAGTATATGTCAGCTGTGTGAAAAAAATGTACACACACTGGCTTCTGCAGAGGCGAAGGGGAGGGAGAGCCGCTGTGTTCCCTACTAACCTGTGCCTCTTTCTGGGAACTGGACCCAATGTCCTCCCCTTCTGAGGCAGTGACAGCAAAATCTTGGCGTCGGTTACTTCTGTGGGCCTGTTTTCCTCATCTCTGCGATGAAGTGGATAAGATAGCGCTCTGATTACAAGATGATCTGTTGGGGTGTCCAGATGCCTCAGGTGCTTCTGGGAAAGGGGGCCTACTGAGGGAAGATCTCCAGGAATAGTGGGATTCCTAGGATTTCAAATAAAGGACCATCATTTTATTATCTGTGAATTTTGTTGTTTTGAGAAGGTGTCACTGTGTAGCCCAGGTTGGTCTTGAATTTATCACACTCATCCTGCCTCAGTCTCCCAAGTGCTAGGATTCCAGTCCTTTGCAATCACTTGGATGTTAATTAATTAATTTATATTGGAAACAGAGTGTCACATACCACAGGCTGGCCTCCATTTGGCTAAGTAGCTGTCAACAGTGACCTTGAACTCCTGATCCTCCATCTCCCCAACGCTGTTAATACAGATGTGAACCCATGCCCAGTTTATGAGGTACTGGGGATCCCACCTAAGACTTCCGGCAAGCCAAAAAAGCCCTGTACCTACTGACTCACCTCCCCAGTCCCAGGTTTTTATTTATGAACATCATCTAAATTCTTCCCAGAATTGGTCAGGGACAGACCCGTAAACGCTCAGCCTTAACAGTAGTCCTGTTCATAGATGTGTGTGGCTCAGTTGGTGGGGTACGTGACCAGCAAACAATCAGGTGTGGGGGGGAGGGGACGGCGCGCCCTCTTGCCGCGCGCGCGGGGTTCGGGCTGTCTGGAGCCTAGTCAGGCGCGGGCTTAGATTCCCGGAGGGGAGGGCGGGCCAGCACGTCGCGGGGATCGGTGAGGGAGCGGCTGGTCCTGCCTCCAAGGCGGGCTGGGGCGGGGCGTCGTTATAAAAGGGCTGCTCGAAGCCAACCGTACCAACCAGCCCAGAGGTGTGAGTTGCTGCGCAGTCACAGTCGCGGGGACTCGGAGTCAGGCGGGGATCCACAGCGATATCCAGACATTCAGAGGTGAGGGCGTCGCGGCAGGGAACGTGGTTCCCCGGGGCCAGCTCTACGCTGAGCTCCGCACGTCCCCAGAAGTGTTTGTGTGCGGTTGTACGCGGTGATGGGTGTCACTGGTGTGTGTGTCTGTGTGTGCCCGCCAGAGTCGCAGGTGTGTTCGCGGCAGGTGGATGACGGGTGTGGGTCTAGGCGCGCCCGTAGTGGCCACCGCTTGGTATGTTAGAATGTGGCCAGGATCAGGCTCTGCCGCAAACTCGGCAAACAAGCCGAGTTCCAGGACCAGGGATGGCTGTCACCCCCAGTTGTTGGATACCCGGCCCGGGCCATAGCTGATGGGGGACCCGCTGCTCGGAGCTCGCTTCTTGCTGCCGGTGCTTTTAGGGATTTCAGGTGCGGCTCGCCAAAGGCGTGAGAACAAAGCCGGTGTCCCGAGAGAGGCCCGAGGCAGCGGGGACAAGTTGCAGAAAGTCTATCTGGGGTCCGGCACAGATCGGTTCTCCAATCCTAGGGGTGCCGCCTGGCCGCGGGTCGGTGTGGTCCAGGTGTCCTACTCCGTCGTAGCCACTACCCCGCTGGGCGCTGAGGTCAGCGCGGGCTGTGTCCTCCGCCCTCGGGACGTGCCTGGGCACGTCCTGGAGGACAGGAGAGGAGGTGACTCATTGTGACAAGGAGACCCCGGGCACTGGGTTGAGATCAGAACCGCGCCCCAGCTGGGGATGGATCAGTGGCAGCCCAAAAGCCCCCTTCCCTTCCCGGGCACAGCCTGGTCCCTGCCCCTCTCCCCTCCCCCGCGCGGCACAGTGACCTATTTGGCGGGCACAGAATGTTCCCAGGGAACCCGGGACACGGGGAGGTCCTGGACGCGGTGTCCGGTCCCCGCTCGGTGGCGCACCCTTGGGGACAGGGAGTTTGGGCGGGCCCTGTCTACACTGCCAGTCCGGGAAGCGCAAAGTGTCCCACCCACCGCGCCCACCACGACGGGGATCAGTGACCATGGGACGCGAGAAGAGCCCACACTGTAGAGCAGCAGGGATCCCCGCCGAGAGGCTTACGGGGTACCGTAGGTCAGACGCCCCGGGGCTGTGACCCCCCCCCCCACCCGGTGTGGGAAGATGACTGGGCGGGACCAGGTTGAGTGCGCCGAGTAGGGCGCATCCGTCCCTTTTAGAGCCCGTGGGGACGAGGGCCACACCTTGCCCTGGTCCTGCGGTAAAGACTCAGGCTTGGGTTTGGCATTTGGGGGTGCGCTGGCAGCTTCCTCTCTTCCCAGTCCTCTTACGTCGCGTTTCAGCGAGGACACTCGAGCGGTTTTTGTTGTCCTCGCCCTCGTCTATTTTTATTTTCCAGGGATCTGACTCATCGCGTGCTTTGGGCGTGGAGATCAAGGTGGAGGGGGTCAGAGCTAAGCGCACTTTCTTTGCTGTGTGTGTGTGTGTGTGTGTGAGAGAGAGAGAGAGTGTGAGAGAGAAACAGAGGGAATGCGCGCGCGAGTGTGTGTGTGTGTGCGTGCGCGTGTGTGAGTGCGCGCGCGCGCGCGCGGTTTCCCAACATAGGCGGGAATTTAGGAAACCCCGGCTCATCGTGACGTGTTTTGCGGCCCAGGGTCCCCCTCCTTTCCTCTCCCCTCCCCACCCTAGGGTGACGTGCAGCTGCGGTGCCCATGCAGTTTTGGCGGGCGGGCAGCGGCGGGCAGGAAACTGACTCACCATGCCTTGCTCAGCCCACGCGCCGCCCACCGCGCGACATTTCCCGGGAGCGCGGCGCCCCCTCCCGGCCGCGGTGGGAGCAGCAAGGCCGGCTGTGCGCGGGTGAGCGGGTGGTGCCACTGGCCTCTGCCACCCCCATTGTGGCTTAAAGAGAGGCCCTCACTGACTGGGTTGTGTTTAGGGAATTGAAATATGCACGGTGGCCAGCGAAGGAAGACGCTGCCTCTGTAAAATGAGGGCTTCTGATAGAAGTGGTTTTGAACAGGGTGTTTGAGCAGACTTTGTGGGAGGCGTGGCCCTTGAGAGCCAACATAGGGAGCATAACCCTCTGTAGGTACCTCTTTCTTTGGCTCCTAGAAGATGGAAACTATCCAGATTCTCGACAGAGCGTTAGCCGGGCTTTTCCTCGCCCCAAGGAGCACTGGGATCATTGGTGTTTTTTCCTTTCTGGCCCCTCCCTATGAGTTGCTCTCCAGGGAAGGGCTCCAAACTTGCGCTTGTTTGGGAAAATAACCGTTTCCACGAATCAGTCTCTGCCCCCCACCCCCGTGTGTGTGTGTGTGTGTGTGTGCGCGCGCGCGCAGGGTTTTACTATATGGCACCGGCTGTCCTGGAACTCACAGAGATCCACCTGCCTCTGGCTGGAATAGTAGAATTAAAGGCATGCCCAAAAACAAGGAGATCGATCGATATTTTAAAAACAACAAAAACCTTCCCAGGTGATTCTGGTGGGCCTCTCTGGTTATGACCCTCAGAATGATGTTTCAGTAGTAGAGCAAACGGGTGTAAGGTCAAATCCCGACTATGCCACTTGTGAGCCCCGTGACTTTGGACACCTCATTTAACTTCAGCGCCTTGGTTAGTTAAACCTAAAAAGGAAGTGGTAGTGCCATCTATTAACAATAGGTGTGGTGGCTCACATCTGCATTCCCAGGGGAGGCTGAGGTGGGGAGGGTGAATGAGTTCAGGCCAGCTTGGCCTACACAGTGAGCCCCTGCCTCCTACACATCAAAGCGGGCGGGGAAAGACAGAGGAACTAATGAATATATCCTTTTAAAAGGATGACTGGCAGTTATAAACCACTTACAGCAGCCTTTGTACTAGGAAGTGTCCCCAAACCCTGCCTGTAGTCACAGGCCACCTGAGGTTCTTTGCAGTTTTGTTTGCTTGTTTTTGAGATCAGGGTTTCACTATATAGACCAGGCTGGGCTTGAACTCACGAAGATCCTTTTGCTTCTACCTCCTAAGTGTTGTAGTCCTGTGTTGGGAGGGGAAGTGCATTTTGCTTATTTTTATTTTGAACGAGTCTCTAGCCTATAATGTCTGGCCTCATTCCCTGTGTAGCAGCTAAGGTTGACCTTGAGCTCTGCTTTCTCTACCTCGGATTGCTATGATTACAGGGTGTGCCACCACACCCAGTTTTACAGACAGTCTTGCTTGCTAGGCACAGGCTTTACCAGCTGAGCCTCAGAACCTTGGGGGCAAGTCTTCATCTCTTCTGGCTTGAGTGTCTACCACTTCCAGCTCTGGGCAAACTCATCCTGAGATTTTGAGGAGCTAAGAGTGTATGCAGTGTCAAAGCCTAGGAAGCTACTGGGCAGACCTTGCAAGCTCAAAGGCTGGAGGGTTAGACGGGGGCCCAGGAAAACCCAATCCTCTTTAGGACCTGCATCCTCTAGTATTGAAATCAGGCCAGAAAAGACAGAAGCTGTTTGGGCCCCTTGGGTATCCCTCCATCCCTCAACCAGCCACCTTTGATTTTCTGTGTCTGTAAATTGGGTTCCTTGGGCACAGGCTGTAGGCAGGTCTGGGAGGTGTCTAGACTGCAGATTATATGATCCACCTAGCAGGATGTGGCTTAGCTGGGAGAGAGAACCCTACTCCACCCCTTCAGCCTCTCCTCTCCCAGAGTCTACTGCCTCCTGGCATCCTTAGGAAAGGCCTCCTGGAGGTAGCACCTGTCAACTGTAGTCTGAGAGGGTGGGTGGGTCAGGAGGTGTGGAGGGGTGAGGAGGCAACTCTGTTAGAATGGGGCCAGAGTGCTTCCATTTCCAAGGGTCAACTACACTAATTTAGTTCCTCCTCGAATGGAGCCCAGAGATGTTAAAATAATACTTGGGGTCACCCAGCAAAGCCTTGATTCTGACCTGGCAGTATGGCTTCAGGGTTCCTGCCTCTCTCCCAGCCACCTTGCCAGCTACCCCAGCATGCTGCCATAGTTATGCTGGCTAAGAAACTGAGGCCAGGGATACAGTCACTTTCTAAGCTACAGTTTATGTGTCTTGTTCCAAAGTCCAGGGCACTTTAGATGGGCTGGATGGGATCACCCCCATCCCCACCCCCACTCCCACCCCGTCCCCAGGGCAGCAAGGCCTGGTCCAGCTGTCAGTGGAATAGGGGGTGGGGTGTGTTTGGGAAACTAGTGGACCTTGGCAATTCACACGTATTTGGGGTGTTCACACCCATGAAGGACAACACTTTCGCACAAGACATTGATTTTAGCTGTTAGCAGTCCTGGTGTAAACAGGACTGTGACCCTATTTCTGCAATGCATTGGTCTCTGGATATTGCTGTGACCTCGAGGTGCAGGGCTGGCTGAACTCAACACCCACTTTGGATCTCCTGGTGTGGTGGGGGGTTCTACAAGGTGTCGGGAAAGCACCTGGGAGGAACAAGGGGGAGCAGGAAGATTGTGACTTATGGTGTGGTTTCCATAGTGACCTGGGTCGTTTTGTGTTTCAGCCACAGCCATCACCATGTCTGATCCCAATGATGTCCGACCCGTCCCACACAGGAGCAAGGTGTGCCGCCGTCTCTTTGGTCCTGTGGACAGTGAGCAGTTGAGCCGTGATTGTGATGCGCTCATGGCCGGCTGCCTCCAGGAGGCCCGAGAACGGTGGAACTTCGACTTTGTCACTGAGACACCGCTGGAGGGCAACTATGTCTGGGAACGTGTTCGGGACCTAGGGCTACCCAAGCTCTATCTGAGCCCTGGATCTCGTGGCCGTGACGACCTGGGAGGGGACAAGCGGCCCAGTACCTCCTCTGCCTTGCTGCAGGGGTCAGCTCCAGATGACCATGTGGCCCTGTCGCTGTCCTGCACTCTGGTGTCTCACGCCCCTGAGCGGCCTGAGGACTCCCCGGGTGGGCCTGGAACCTCTCAGGGTCGGAAACGGAGGCAGACCAGCCTGACAGGTACGGAATGGTACAGGGAGGAGGGACCCTGCAGGAGGTGTGCCAAGAGAGGCCATTTGCTGAGGGTCACACAAGTCTGCAGCCAAGCCCAGCTAGCTGATACTGATCGGGTACTAATAACCCGGGCTCATGATAACTTGGGTCTAGAACAAAGCCTTTGCAGAGAACATTCCAGTCATTCCTCAACACCAAGCCAGTCTTGCCTTCCTTCCTAGGTGAGGGAACCGGGACTGAGAGGTGATAATGATAGCAGCTGACCTTCATGTGATCCAGGCATTTTCTCTGCATTGACAGGAAGGCTCAGGGTAGGGTGGGGTTTGGCAGTAGAGCACTGGCCTAGACCCCACCAGGGAAGCACTAGGGATGCTCCTTTGCAATAGAGTGCTGGCATAGGCAGTTTCCATCCCCAGTACTGCCAAATAAGTAAATAAGAGGGTGGCTAGCGATATGGTTCAGCAGATATGAGCACTTACTGCTCTTGTAGAGGGCCTGAGTTCAATTCACAGCACCCACCCACAACTCCAGCTCTAGGAGGATCTGGGTAGACTGAGGAGGCCCTCTGGCTGTAAGGAGCTGCAGTTGCCTGGACTCTCCCACCTCCCTCAGTGCAGCCACATGTCGCTTTGACTTTGGGGAAGGGCGTCCTTACCCTCTGCCTCTGGCCTGACAAGTTTCTCTCTTTACAGATTTCTATCATTCTAAGCGCCGGCTGGTCTTTTGCAAGAGGAAGCCCTAATGTGCCCACAGGAGGCTTCACCCTCTTCCACAGTGGGCCAGGAGGCCCCTTCCCCACCTTCTGGCTTAGCCCTCCCTCCCTTCACTCTGTGTGTCTTAATTATTATTTGTGTTTTAATTTAAGTGTGTCCTGTATATACTCTGCCTGCCCTCCCCTGGCCTCCAACCTTAGACTTATTTAAAAGAACTCAAATAGTGAGATGGTAGCACCCTTAGTGCTGGGGATTTTTATTACATAGACTTATTTAAGCCCCTCTCAAACCAAAACCTGTGCTCCCTATCCTGGAGGGAAGGTTGGACTGGCTTCGGGCCAGCTACATCCTCCTTCACCCCCCAACCTCACCTCCATCCCTGTCTGGGTGATACTCCCTCAGTGGCCTGGTTCCCTGCCTCCTGTCTCATGAGGTGATCCTCAGACCTGAATAGCACTTTGAAGGGGGCCAACTGAGTGGAACTTTGGGGTCTCCTTGTCACCTCTAAGGCGACAAGTAGTCACAACCTAGAACAAGGATGAGGCTTAGCCTGGTTAGGACACAACTGTAATATCCTGACCCTTGGCACTGGCTCAGACCTGTGAAGACAGGGAATGCCCCACACTCTGGGTCCCCTTTGCCCCCCCCCCCCAGCCTGCCTTCCCTGTGGCTATCTCTGCTAGCCGCCCCTCTGTTTTTGAGGATTCATCCGGCATTCTGCTGCTCTCCCCTTTCTAGATCCTTCCCTGACCCCCCGGCCCAGGAGGCATCTCTGGGCACCTGGAAGGGAAGGGGTACACTACATAGGGCTCCCTTGTGCCACCTCAGGTAGCACCAGTGACAGACATCCTCCTCGTGGTTCTAGGGTGTTTCCCTGGTGGTGAGATAGTCCTCCCAGAGCAGTGAGCATCCCTGGGGTCCCATGTGTGGTGGGGACCCCAGCCTTGGAAGTCATTAGTGACCTCTCTCACAGTACTTTGAGCAGCCGATGTGTGAGGAGCCAGGGCACGATGGTGCATCAAGGGCTAAGCAAACTAACAGGAGACTGAGAGCAGTGGCTGACCCTTACCCAGGGTTGAATCCCTTGGGTGTAGAAGCACTCACTGAGACTGACCCCAAACACCCCTGTTTCTGTAACATCCTGGTCCAGACCGTTTGCCCTTAGCACCACCCCCCTAAACACACATGTATTTTGGCCTCCTTCCCGTTTCTACTCAGACTGTAAAACTCCCAAGAGCAAGGACCACGTCCTGCCCTGTTCTCAGTCCCACCCCATAGCCCAAAGCAGGTGCTCAATAAATATTTCTTGATGACTTATAATGACTTGTCATTAGAAAAAATGGGGGAGTGTTTGGGACTGGCTGTTTGCTGTGTGTGTGTGTGTGTGTGTGTGTGTGTCTGTCTGTCTGTCTGTCTGTCTGTCTCTGTGTCTACAAGTGCACACACATGCATTTTTTCTCCCCCAGTGGTAGGAATTGAACCTAGATCCTTGAGCATAACAGGCAAAAGAACTTACTTTACCTCATAGTCCTGCACTTTGGCTTTTCATTTTGAGACAACTTTGTACAATATTTTTTTTTCCATTTTGAACAGAAAAATGTTCTCCAATTTAATTTTACAGAAGCGGTTATTTTAATATTTTTGTAAATTTTATTTTTGTGAATATGTGTGTATGTGTGTGCTGCAGCCAGGCATCTCTCATGGGAGCTCTATCAAATTCAGATAGAGTTGATGGCAAGCATCTTTACTCACTGAGATGAGGAGTAATTTAGTTTCTTACTCCTCAACAGTTTCATACATGTGCATAATGAATTTTAATCCTTTTTCACTTCCTATGTTAGTTGATAAGGTGCTCAGACGGGGCTTGAACTAGTGACCCTGCCATCAAGCCAGCTGCCTCTAGAATTAAAATAATTTTCTAAGCCAGCAGGGTGGCATGTGTGGCCAGACCTGACCTCTTGACTTTGATCCCTAGGGCCCATATGATGGAGGAGTCATTCGGGTTGTCCTCTAGTTTCCTGAATTCCACATGTATGTGTGTATACATGCATGTGCTCACATACATACAATATGTGCTGGATAGTTGTATGTCAACTTGACACAAATTAAGTCATCTGAGAGGAGGGAACTTCAATTAAGATACCTCCACAGATCAGGCTATAGGCAAGCCTCTAGAGCAGTGGCTCTCAACCTTCCTAATGCCAGAACCCTTTAATACAGTTCCTCATGTGGTGATCCCAACCATAAAATTATGTACATTGCCGCTTCACAACTAATTTTGTTGTGAATCATGATGTAAGTACCTGTGTTTCCCAACGGTCTCATGCAACCCCTTAAAGGGTTGCGATCCACAGGTTGAGAACTGCTGTTGTGGAACATTTTCTTAATTAGTGATCAGTGGGGAGATGTCCAGTCTGTCTTAGGGTGTCTTGCTGTGAAGAGACACCATGACCATGGCAGCTCTTACAAAGGAAAACATTTAATGGGGGCTGGCTCACAGTTTCAGAACTTTAGTTCCTTGTTTTCATGGTGAGCAGCCAGACATGGTGCTGGAGGAGCTGCGGGTTCTATGTCTTGATCCACAGGCAGCAACTGTGTGTCACAGTGGGCACATCTTGAGCACAAATGAGACTTCAAAGCCCATCCCCACACTTCCTCCAAGAAGGCCACACCCATTCCAAGAAAGCTGCACTTCCTAACAGTGCCACTTCCTATGGGCCAAACATTCAAACACATGAGTCTGTGGGGCCATAACTAGTCAAACCACCATATTCCATTCCCTGGCTCCCACAGGCTCACAGCCATAACATAATGCAAAATGCATTCAGTCCAACTTCAAAAATCCCCATAGTCTACCACAGTCTCAACAATATTTAAAAGTTCAAAATTCAAGGTCTCTTCTAGGTTCATTCAATTTCTTAATTGTAATTCCATATAAAATCAAAATCAAAAAATAGATCACATACTTCCAACATACAATGGCACAGGATATACATTACCACTCCAAAATGGAGGAAAGGAAAATAGTGAGGAAACACTGGACCAAAGCAAGACCAAAGCCAGCTGGGCAAACTCCAAACTCTTCACCTCCATGTCTGATATCAAGGCCCTCTTCAGGTCTCCAACTCCTTTCTGATTTGTTGACTACAACACATTTCTTCCTCTTGAGCTGGTTCCACTCCATTAGCAGCTCTCCTTGGCAGGTATCCCATTGATGGCTCTGGCATCTCTAACATTTGGGGTCTGCAAAGCAATCCAGGCTTCAATTTCACAGCTTCATACAATGGCCTCTCTAGGCCTCCGTGCAGTCACACTCCTGCCACACATCTGGCCTCAGTGACTTTCCTTAGTCTTGGAGGGAGACTCCATAACCTCTTTCTTCTATCTTTGACTCTAAAGCCAGAACCATATGGCCAAAGCTGCCAAGTTGTACTGCTTGCTAGGGCTGGATTGTGGGCTCCTGGTTCAGTTACATCTTCATGAGCTTTCTGTTTTCCATGGTTTCCTTCATTGCCTAAGCTTGGCTGTCCTGAAACTTGATCTGTAGACCAGACAGGCCTCAAATTCAGAGATCTGCCTGCCTCTTTCTGAGTGCTGGGATTAAATGTATGCCCCACTACATTGAGTTTTAAAATCTTTAATCCCTTTTCACAAGTTGGAAACTTAGTTGGGTGGGATCTTACCTGGTGTTAACACTCCATTTATTCCATTTCTTAATCTGTTTATCTCTGTTCCACTTCCTTTTTTCTCAAATTGTACATTTTGTATTTTTCCTTGCTCAGCTTCCTCCTTTTCATTATAGATCTGTATAAGAGTGAACACTAATAATCACACAACAAAAGAAAGTCAATACTAGGCTGTTTTGAGATTTCCTCTGCCAATGAAATTAATCCAAAACTCTTCAATTTACCTTCAAGCAAACTTTTTGGACAAAGGCAAAAAGCAGTTACATTCTCCACCAAAATATGACAAGAACAGTCTCTAGGCCACATACTAAAATTCTTCTCCTTTGAAATCTCTTGAGCCCACAGTTCAAATCACCCTCAGCACCACTATTTTCCATGCTCCTACTAGTATGCTCCATTAAGCAGTGCTTAAAGAATTCCACTACTTTCTTAACACAAAGTCCCAAAGACCAAATTCCTCCAAACAAAATCATGGTACCAACTTCTGTCTTAGTTATGGTTTCTATTGCTGTGAAGAGAGACCATGACCACGACCACAGCCGAGTGGTGGTGGTGAATGCCTTTAATTCCAGCACTCAGGAGGCAGAGTCAGGCAGAGACCAGCCTTATCAACAAAGTGAGTTCTAGGACAACCAGGACTGTTACACAGAGAAACCCTGTCTTGAAAAGCCAAACCAAACAAAATGAAAGCAAACAGGAAAACATTTAATTGAGGCTGGCTCACAGTTTCAGAGTTTTAGTCCATTATCTTCATGGCAAGAAGGATGATGGCGTGCAAGCAGACATGGTACTGAAGAAGGAGCTGAGAGTTCTACATCTTGACCTGCAGGCAGTAGATGCAACTGTTTACCACACTTGAGCATATATGAGACCTCAAAGCCTGCTCCCACAGTGACACACTTCCTCTAACAAGGTCACACCTACTCCAATAAGGCCATTCCCTAGGCCAAGCATTCAAACACACGAGTAAGAGCCCTGAGGTCTATCATGAGGTCTGTAGGTCACTCACCCTGCTTGATACACCTGAAAGGGGAAGTGGTGACATTTCCAAGTACGGGTGCAGGGGGACCAACTGTGCCACTTTGCAATCTTTGACGTAACTCAGGCTTTCTCAACATTCCGGAAAAGGCTGCCAGATGCTATCTGGTCCCCTCTCCTGCAGCCCTGATACCAACCCGTGCTCCTGCTAGGCATATTTTGGAACTGACAGCTGGAGGCAGGGAACCTGGATGCTCTCTGTCCTGAACCCCAGAGCAGGTTGTGTCTGCACCAGGGTTTACTGGACTCTGGTGTGAAGTCAAGCAGCTATGAGGAACCATTTGGGAGCCTTGCTCATTTTAAAATGGTCTCTAGGCCTTTCGTCTCTGTTCACCAATTCCATTCTGTATGATTTTATTCCCAAGTCCAGCAACTGGATTTTTAAAACATTTGTTATTTCCTGGTTTTAATTTTTATTGCCTGGCTTGCACAAGGCCTTCTGTCACATGGTAGAAGGGGAGAACTGACTCCCCTAAGTTATCAGTTATCGTCTGACTTCCACATATAAGCTGTGGCATACATACATACCTACACACTCTCACACACCTCCATAATATATACATCCACATACAAATATTTGCATACACAAAATAAATTAATAAGTATGATTTTTTCTTTGTTTTTGTAGCCCTGCCTGTCCTGGAACTCACTCTGTAGACCAGGCTGGCCTTGAACTCACATAGATCCACCTGCCTCTGCTTCCCCAGTGCTGGGATTAAAGGCATGCACCACCACCACCTGGCTAATAAGTATAGCAATTTTTAAAAAATGACTAAGTCTTTAAATCCACTTGGATAATTTTAGAATTAGAAAGCTGTGGCTTTTGGGGTCCTAACCTAGTCTCCCAATGGCTAATTAAACACATAATTTCTTTATTTATTTGAAATGAAGTCTTTATCATTCATGAGGTTCTTACACATGTTTGAATCTATTGCTGTCTACTTTGTATTTCCTTTTCTTTTTTCTTTTTTAATCCCGAGGCAAAGCCTAACCATGTAGCACAGGCTGGCTTTGAACTCAGATCCTCCTGCCCCACACAGATTCTGAGTACTAGGATGACAGCCATGTAGCACCTGACCTATCTCATTCGCATCCATCCCACAGCTTCATTCACCTGTCTTCATGCTCCAGTCCACACTGTTCTCATGATTGTGGCTTTGCAACATATTTTGATATTAGCTTAGTCTGTTTCCTAAGAAGGGAGTTTGATATAAGCCTCCTCTCCTAGTCAAATAGGCTGACCTTGAGTGAGAAACCAAGGTGAAGGGAGAATTGTCCCCCCTGCAGCATTTTCTGCACCAGTTGTAGCCACACTGAACCCTTCTCCTGGGCTGAGGACACTCTGGCAGGAATCTGAAGCCCAAGCTCTAGCCTCATGTGGAACATACCAGGACCCTGGGCATCAGGCAAGACAGAGAGTGCAACCAGGGCCCCTTTCTGTGGGGAGTTCCCTAGATGACAGCAGGAGATGGGCAGCCAGTGAACGGAAAGGGGCGATTGAGCAAGAGACAAGACTGTTGACAGTTGCTCTGTGGGCTCTGGGCAGCAGACAGTCACCCACCTACTCACAGGGTCCAGGAGCACCAGACTGCAAACGGCAGCCTCTGAGAGGTGGGAGCAGCCCCAACAGGCATTGTTGCTGCTTGGAGGGGTGGTGGAGGGTGAGTAGAGTGGGTGGGTGGTGGTGGTATGGGGGCCCATGCACTTTCTTTTCTTCCTTCCTTCCTTCCCTCCCTCCTTCCCTTCCCTCCTTTCCTCCTCCCTCCCTCCCTTCTTCCTTCTTTCCTTTCTGTTTAATTTGTTTTTGAGACAAGACTTCTGTGTAACAGCCCTGGTTGTCCTAGAACTTGCTTTGTATAACAGGCTGGCCTCAGACTCACAGAGATCCTCCTGCCTCTGCCTCCCAAGTGCTGGGATTAAAGGTGTACACTACCACTACCCAGCCCCATGCAGTTTTTCTTCCTTCCTTCCTTCCTTCCTTCCTTCCTTCTTTCCTCCCTTCCTCCAAGTCAAGGTCTCCTTATGTAACCCTGGCTGCCCTTGAACTCACAGAGTTCCACTTACCTCTGCCTCCTACATTCTGGCATTAGAGGCATATATTGCCAAACTACACCTTTTCTTCTTCTTCTTCTTCTTCTTCTTCTTCTTCTTCTTCTTCTTCTTCTTCTTCTTCTTCTTCTTCTTCTTCTTCTTCTTCTTCTTCTTCTTCTTCTTCTTCTTCTTCTTCTTCTTCTTCTTCTTCTTCTTCTTCTTCTTCTTCTTCTTCTTCTTCTTCTTCTTCTTCTTTTTTTGAGATGGGGTCTTATGTAGCCCAGGCAGGCCTTGAACTCACTATGTAGTTAAAGATGACCTTGAACTCTTCATCTTCCTGCCTCTACCTCTGGCATGCTGGGATTATAATGTCCTGCTCCCTCCTAATTTGCATGACGGGAGTGTAGAGCTGAGCTTTGGTACCTCAGACTGTCTAACAGAGGCCCAGGCTGTGGGTGTCATCTCCTGTGAGTGAGAAGTCGATTGTGGGCTTGTGACACTGGGCAGGCCTTCTGGCTTCTTGGACACACTGTTTCTCTAGCAGTTAGTGAGTGAAGGTGGTAGAAGGTGGACAGCATGAGCCACAGGACTAGGTGGCTCTCAGGGGTGCTAGCTGTGACCATGTTGGCCTTTCCTATGGCAAGTTTCACACTGAACTGACTCAGTTTCTCAGCCCTCTGAGACAGGATGGGGGGCAAATAAGAGGCCTTCAGCTCTGGCAGATGGCAGGCTGTGGTCCCAGTGTGTCCTCGGCTTCTTCATTCTTACCTTCTCTCCAGTTCCTGGTGGAAGGCCTCAGGGCTCTGCTCTTCTAGCTAAAATCCATGGCTGTCCCATTGTGGAGCCATCCTGAAGGTGGCTGACAGCAGGGCTCCCTGGCCAGCTGCTGAGTCTTCTTCAGGTTCTGGGTGGCGTCTCGGGGAAGGCACCTGGGTGCTGAGGGGCTGTGTGTGTTTTACTAGCAGTGAGGGCTGCTCATTGAGCAGGGTGTGCAGGAGACTAGAGCAGAGATGGGCATGGACAGAGAGCACCCTGCTGACTCTAAGAATTCTGTTCTGGGTGACTACAAAAGGATTCTTCATAGTCACCAAAGGAAGGGGGTAAAGTTTTATCTCAGAGCTGAGTGTGAGTATGAATATGGTAACTGAGGATGGAGAGAGAGAGAAAAAGAGAGACAGAGAGAGAAAGAGAGGAGACACACACAGAGACAGAGACACAGAGAGAAAAAAGACAAAGAGAGGAGAGACACAGAAACACAGAGAGAGACAGAAAGAAAAAGAGACAGAGAAAGAGGAGAAAAGAGAGAAGAGAAAGAGAAAAAAGAAAAAGATGGAGAAAGATTGAAAAGGGGAAAGAAAAAAGGGAGAAAGAGAGGGGGAAACACATACATGCATGGGCTCCCCACTGCCTTTTAGTGGCCATTCCTGCCCTTAAAAGGGACACAGACTGATTTAGGGTATGGTGTGAGGGAATAGGAGGCAGTGACTGCCAGAGATGTCCTGACCTATGGTGACCAGTGCTCTGACACTGGAGGCCTCACTGGCTGCAGGGGACAGACTGACTCCCTTCCCTGGACCTCCTGCTGGTCTAGCCACTGAGGTCTCTGCCTGACTGAGTGAGGTGACCCCAGGTGCCAGCTTCTTATGAAATGCCAGGGGACTGATTGCTGGGAATGCTGGTGAGTCCCCCACATTCCAGGGCCTTATTTTGGGATTCGACCTCCTCTGGCTGTGAGAACCGGGCTGGCAACATTTAGGCTTCTGATGAAGGTTCTCCGAAGCATGGGCTCTGGGGGTCTGTCCTTATCTAGCTGTTGCTGTGTGCTAATCAGCTTGCAGGAAGTACTGCAAAACTGCCCTGACTCTCTGAGCTCAAGGCCAGCCCTTGCTGCCCAGGAAGCACAGCTGGACTACATCTGGACGACTTTGAAATCTTTGCCCCTCCTAGGGCTGCTTTCCTGGGCATTTGTGTCCCTTCCCCAAATGCAGAGTCATGGCTCCAGAAATTGCCTTGGGGAAATCCATCCTGGATGAGACAGACAGGCAGCCAGTTCCCTCAGCTTTTGGTTGGATCTGTATGGAACCTAACTGCTGTAGGGACCACATTGAACCCCACCCTCATCAATAATGTCACCATCGTTGTCCTTGCTGCCTTTACCCAGCAGTCCCTGAGGGCCAGGCACAGTGCTTGATCAGGGTCAACAAATATTTGCTAAGCGCCAGCTGTATACCCAGCACTGTTTACAGTTCAGTAAAAGGAGATTTGAATTTACAGAATAAGTGAGCAAAAGTCATTTCTGAGAATGAAAATTAAGATAAAATGGAACCAGAAGGGGGCACACCTAGCTGGAGGCAGGGTGGTTTCAACGTTAATTATCATGTTTAACCCTTACATGGTTCTGGTGGTAGATGTTAGTCTAATAGTTCTTTTTATCTTATGAGCACGCGTGTGTGTGCGTGTGTGTGTGTGTGTGTGTGTGTGTGTGTGTGTGTGTGTGTGAGAGAGAGAGAGAGAGAGAGAGAGAGAGAGAGAGAGAGACTAGGTCTCACTCTGTACCCTAGGCTGGTCTTGAATACAGTGATCCTCCTGGATATTTCTCTGCTCCTAATGAAGAGGGTAAGCAACTGGCCTGAGGCTGCCCAGTTAGAGAGCAGCAGGGAAAGAGGTCCACCTGACTTCAGAGCGTTCTGATGTCACTCTCCTCATGGAACCTCCCTCCCCTCATCTCTAGGTTGTGAGGGTGGCCTGACCCTCGCTGGTACCTGCACTCATCAGGT